CCTTAGATGATAATTAAATACTGTTAAAAAAAAAAAAAAAAATTTGCCGGTTTCATCATTCATCACATAATTGTAACCAATCGAAATTGTATACTAAAAAAAAAATTAATTCAATATTTTTAATAAAAATACCATACCCCGAAAGGTACCTAGTAAATTTAATGTCTAAATCATATCTAGAATATTGTTCAAATGCTTTAAAAAACTTGGGAAACTAAACTATAAAGTTCAACTGAAGATATACTGACATTTGTAGTGATAAGGAGTTTCAAATCAAGATTTATATAATTTGAAAATTCTCTTTTTATTTAAGCATTTGAACCTATCGCTATTTTTTCTAAGATGCGTATTCTCTGATTAATCCAAGTTATTAAGTTGAAGATTCAAAAAAATCAGTAAAGTGTTCTGATCCAAAATCATTGCTAGTAAGATTTGAATTTTTCAACATGATGTTTTTAGAAAGTTTATCTGCTAATGCTTTTTCTACAAATTGTCCAAATTCATTAAGCTAATATCTAGTGAAGTCTATGTGATATTCTTGCAAAGTGCCATTATTAACTCAAATTTTTAGACTCACACGATCTTGAGTTGAAGCGCCTTCTTGATTTTCAGAACTATGCTGGCTGTTTCCTAGAATTTTTCCAAATATTGAGTTCTAATACTTTGAAAAATTTTGCCTTGCTCAAAAAATTCATGTATATCCTTTCTCAAATTCTTAAGGATACTGCTGTCCTGCACTGAAGCATCAGATAAATAAAGCGAAGATGTATTTCAAGTGAATTTATGAGTAAGCTTAAATTACCTTGATGACTTGAAGAAATTTTATTATTTTAAGCTAATGTTTAATAGAATAGTGTTGACCCAGAGTTCCGTCAAGTATAATTTGTTTTAAAACTTTGAGAATTACTCTTGTTCAGGGCGATTGGCAGGATCACTATCCCAATATTTTTTTGTAAAGTTTGATATATTGAGATGGTGTACCTTTTATAGATTCTTTTCTATTTCTCTGAAAACATAAACAAGTATAAGTGCAGATTTAATAGATAGGAATGAAGATTCAAGATGACTTTAACACAGTTAAACAGCTATATTATACTTTTTGAATTGGTTTTATTTTTCTTCGTCTAATGCCTTCCACTTAAATTTTCCAAAAAATTTGTTTAAAGCTATAGATATTTGATCTTTTATCACGTTTATATCCATGCTTAATAAGACATTGAGGTTCGATATACCAGCATTCCATGAATTTGAAATCATAGACATTTTATTAATTTGCTTTAAGAGTTTGAAGTCTGTAATATTTAATAAATTAAGATGTTTTTCGAATGCTAAGTTATTAAAATATCACAATAATGATTATATGTAATAATAAAAAACCCGGTAAAATATATACTTATCAATTTTTATAAATAGATATTATTATTATGTAAAAATAAAAGTCTAAGTCCTTTTTCTTTAGCAATGCAAACTTGATTTGCTGCAATGCTATGTAATTGACAAACCCGGTACAAAATTTTTCCATGCAAAAAAAAAAATAAAAAAGTATTAAGCTAGTAAAGATACTTATCGATTAAACCATATTGAATGAATATTTTTGCCTTTAATTCACTGTGAAAAGATTCTAGAGGATTAGTAGAAGTAACTTGAAGAAGAAGTGGTGAATGTTGCCGAGCCCAGAGAGACCATTGCCTTTAATTTTTTAAATAGTTTCTAGTAATATATTTTGTATTGGCTTGAACTAGACAAGCATTAATAGCATCACAAACAACTTCTTCACATCCTATTTGTGTTTTTTTGTGCATCGCATGAACTATTTTGTTAAGTGTGGGGCCATGGTAAATATTTTTTATCCATATTCATATGACATGTACAGTACAAAGAAGAACATCACAATCTTGCTCTCCATAAATTGAAGTAATTTGTATATAAAAGTTTATTAATATTTTCACAGTTTACAAAATTACATAAATCATTTTAAAAATAATAAAGTAAAATAAAAAAATAAAATAAAATAAAATTAAAATAAAATAAGATAAAACATATTCTCTTCCTATCTACTGAAAGACCTGGAAAAGTTAACGCAATACCATTTGCTTCCATGCTGCTTTGGTCAAGAAGCATATATCTTGGATTCCAACGTGGAGCAAAATTTCGAATAATTCTTAATGCCAATGCAACTGCTACACTAGTTTCTCTATTAACAAAAAAATGAGCACTGGCATTCCAACAACCACAGCCATCATGAATGTATAAAGTAAATAAACGCTACCCATGCTTATTGGTATTATGCATAGAATCGATTAGCATTAGCTAGCTATAATGCGTTAAATTTTTCAATTGCCAAAAATTTGCAAAATATAGGCCCGCAAGTGCACAAGCGATTCTTGCTTTTGAAAAGACTCAACCAAATAATTATTCTTTAGCAAAAATTCGGTTGTACTTAAAATATCAGAACTTAAATCTACATCTCCAACAAGATGCGAGTTCATCGGATCAACAAGCTTCTGCTTGATATTAGCAACCTCCTTAGTTTTTAAATACTTCACACCCAAGCTCTCATATAATTTGAAAACTTCTTTTCTGATAACTTTTGTAATTGTCGGGGGTTTGTAATCCTTGATCGCTTCGTTAGCCACCATATTCTTAATAAATTTTGATCATTTACACATATCATTTCTCGCCATTAAATGGTTATGATCCAGGGTACTGCTTACCTATAATTTATTTTAATCATTAAAAAAAAATCACTATTTTAAATATATATATAAGTGTCGCCAAAAGAAAACTCAACAATTTAAATATAGTTTATATTTAAATTGTTGGGGTTTCTTTTGGCAACACTTATATATATTGCATTAACAATATTTTAAATTATACTAACCCTCTCAATTCTAACCATATTTGTTGCCACCAACCAAGTTATTCTAATTCTAGCTTCACAATCAATAGCAGGGTGTTTTGAGGTTATGCAAAGCTTTTCAGGAGAAAGATTTTCTTTTCTTCTGCTTGATTCCTTGGGTTTTGAAAGCCTACAAACAAAAGTTTTATGCTCATTGCCATTATCCAACTTGTATCCATTATATTTTGTCCAAATATTATTAACAAGAGCCCATTGCTTATTAAAATTTTCAATGGAAAGCTCAAATGTTTCATTTATATTAAAGAAGCGTTTTCAATTGGCCGACATGGCCATAACACTGCTATAACGGTAATCGTTTAGTTGTTTTTTTTTTTTTTTTTGTTTTTTTTTTTTTATATGTAACTATAGCTTATCGCAGAGGTTTCTTTTTGTATTGTAAGTGGGGTTCTCATAGAGAACTTCAAGTCAGTACAGTAATTACAATACAACAGTAAGTGCATAAAACTTCAATACCTCAATTTTTTTTTATCAACTAATCGATTAGATTTATTATTAAGTGGTGGCACAGAGCACGTTGATTGGCTGCAGCTATGAGACGTCAATTGACTTGCACGACCCCATGGACCGTCAGTTCAATAGTTACCCCGCTTTAGCGATCCCCCTAATTTGGAACGGTCTTACCTGAAAATGTGACTGATACACATGATGAATATAAGCGATGACTTTTATATTTCAGTACTAAGGATAAGGGCATTACAAATTCTAAAAAGGGATCGTGTTAAGTAGCATGTGTCAATGTTCGATCATATTCGATGATTATTTTTCACTGACACGATTCTTTTTTCTTTTTTTTTTATACATTACAAAAAAACAGATTATTACACGTGATTGTATTGATTGTATGTATACATATGCACATTTTAATTGGGTACAATATTAACGTTAACAATTTTATTTTATTAAAGTGCTATTAATAAAAATTGTCATATTTCAATAAAATTTGATGTGGTCAACTTTATTTAATGTTCAACGGTCAATTATCTAAGTACAAACATGTGGTCTCGGTTATATTATAATTATGATATGTGTACATTATTGGACAGACGACAAAAAATAACAGCAAATTGTTTTTTTTGCCGGAATTAATGTCACTCCATGTGCTGCGTAGCAGCACATGAGTGAAATTAACTCCGATGAAAAAAAACAATTTGCTGTTATTTGTCGTACGTATGTTCAATAATGATGTTATCCGATAGTTAATATGACCATGTGAAGTTTTTTCCGTGATGTTTAGCAAAACTGATTATGCAAAAAATATCATGGCAAAAAAATTCACATGATCATATGAAATGTCGGATAAAATTATTTATTAAGATAAAAAGTTGGATTTTGCTTAAATATGTATATTTCATGATCCAGTAACGGAACTGGATGATTTTGGTACTATTCGATTCGTTTCAAAGAGACGAATCGAATGGTACCAAAATCGTCCAATTTTAATCACTGGATCACAAGTTATTTCACTTGACCACAATACACCCCCTGTCCGCAATACCCCCGCCTCCCTTATATTATTATAATTTTATATAAACAAAATTTACACCTGATATTGTGTGACAAATTGGATGACTGGTTATAACGAGATAAAATAATGAATATTTATTTATAACGATATACGATAAAATAATGAATATTTATAATTTATACTGGGTTATTGATACCAGGGTGTTATATCTCAAAATAATTTCTTAAGAAATTTAGGTCTGGGATTCTAAGTAAAATGTTTAGAACTCCCAAAACCTACAAAATTTAGACCTTTATATCAAATTTTTATTATACCATATTTTATCCTAAAACTACACCCAAACCTTTATATAATAGGAGAGGATATCAATAACCGGTAAAAACATAATTTATTCTAAGACGATTTAAATAATAATACTTATTTTAAATTTAGAAAGTAGTATAAATATAAGCCATACTGAATATTTTAAAAGAGTTTAAGCATCCAACTTTAATTTTAAATGATATAAATTCGACATTCTTGGTGCATCATTCCTTTTGAAATTCATTATCTTGAACTTTAAGAAAATATTATTAATAAATAAACTTTTGAAACAATAAAATATTGCAAATTATACTAACTTAATAAATCAGTAATATTGGATGGGAGTTCAAGAGTTGAACTTGCTAGCTGCTGCGAAATAGAAGGACTAAATTGAGTGGATACTACACGTAATAAAAGCAATAAATTAATGCTTAATTACAAAATATTAATTACAAATATAAACCATATAATATAATTTAATCCACCTTTAAGGCTCTTTATGATTTCTGGCACATCAATTAATGTGCTACAATATTTAGTTTGAAGCATTGATAAGGACTTTAGTGTCATTTCTTTGATTTCATTGTCAGCATCAATGAATTTCTTTCTTATATCAAGTTCCTCTTTATCCGTTAAATTCTCTGATTCTATAATTTTTTCCACTGTTTGATTTTTGAATTAATGGATTCAGCAGAAGGTCAGTTTTGTGGATTAACATCCATGCATTTTTTAGCTAGTTCAATGTAGCAATCAGGTGTTCCTTTAGCAAAATCTGGGCGTAATCCCTTACAAATTTTTGATGCAAGTTTAGTATCAAATTTATATCCATCATAAGGACATTTTCCAGTTGATACTTCTGCCATCATAACGCCTAAACCATAAATATCTTCCTCTCGTGTGTATTCCTGACCTAGAAGAATTTCAGGTGCAACATATGGCATGACTCCATAAATTCCTTCTTTTGGATCATGATCACCTGGTTCTCTAGATAATCCCAAATCCGTAATGTATGATTTTATATCTCCACCAATATTTTGATTAAGTAAAATATTGCCACTATGAAAGTCATTATGAATAAGTCCTGCTTTATGAATTCGAGATAAATCATAAGATATATCCGCAAGTTGCTTTAATTTATTTTTCCATACAAGTTCTCTAAAATATTTAGCTAAAAAGTCATGAAGATTTCCTCTATTAGCATATTGATATACCATCATATATTGACCTGTCTCTGTATGCCGTGTCAATCCGTATACTCCAAGCGCACTACCCTCTAATCTACATTGCATATGATTTTTAAACTTGAAAAAAATACATAAATAAAATTTTATAAGTTAATGTCCAGTAAATTTACAATTATAGTATTTGTGCGAATAAACCACATGGACGTTATTTTGAATTTTTCACTGTTTGAAAACAGCACATTTGATTCATAATAGCCTATGTGTATCCAAAAATACGCTTCCCTCAAACATTCAAGTTTCTCTAAATGATATTAAAAATTTGACTAAGTGTGCATTTAAAGAAGTATTGCATTTAGGGAGTCAAAATCTATAACAATATATTTTTGGGACTCGGATCTGATTGTATGAGATATTATTATTATTATATATAATTATTTACACCAAAATCATCAAAAGTGATTCTAAAAATATCGCACATGCGCATCCTTAAAGTACATACGTACAAGTGTTCAAAATAACGTACACCTTGTGCATTATTACACCAAAATACGGCAAGCAAATAATTTTGTCTTACCTCATTTAAAAACTCGGAGGAACTTTTATGAGAACCAGCTATTGTCTTAAGAGCAACTTCACAGGATTTGTTACGATATCGTACATGACCTAAATTGTTATTACCTTCGACCATTCGATTACCATTTAACCAAATTGATGAATATACTGTACCAAAACCTCCTCGTCCAATGACTTTTATATTTTCTAATCTTTTAAACGGAATCCATTCAATAACGTTTTCATATGCCGTAGCCTTAAGTTGAAATTCCTTAATACAATCATCAATATTCTTATCGCCACTTGTTTCTTGATCCACTTTTCGAGGATCACATAATTGACACCAAGCTGGAGAGGTGTTATATCGGTTACAATGTTTGCAATTTCCATTAATGAATTTTCTTTTGTCACTATAAAAATCGATTACTATCATGTATTATCCAGTTTCTGTATTTTGAGTTATTCCATGAGTTCTATATTTCCCTAATTGCATATGATTTTTAAACTTATGATACAGTACGTGTTAATAAATTAAGAAAAGCAGTATCCTATAACTTCAAAGTAATATTAAATAATTTAACTCACATTTTCAAAAAGTTCCAAAGTGTCTGTTTGTGAACAATTCAACTTCATAAGGTCAACGGATGATATAGTGCGTGACTGCATATATTTTCCAGAATCACCTTTAATTATTCGTACGCCTTTCACCCAAGTTGCCGTGAATACAAGATTTGATTCTTCATTAATTTCTTGTAAATCAATTAATTTATCGAATGGAATCCATTCAATCACTTTTTCATATTCTGTAGTTTTGAATTGAAATTCTTTAATGAAATTGTCAATCGCTTCGTTTCCACTTGTCCATTCTTGAGTTGCTTTCCAAGGATCACAGGATTGACACCAAGCGGGAGAAGTGTTATAATGTTCACAGTATATACATTTTCCGTTTGAATTGTTTCTTCTAGAACTAAACTCATCTGGTATTACAATTATATATTGATTTGTCTCTGTATTTTGAGTAATTCCATATACAACATTTCCATTTGACTGCATATAATTTGTAAGCTTACCGTATTAAAGGGTTTAAATGTGTTAATGCTATTGCAATAAGCTGAGATAATAAATAAATAACCAGTTTACTCACTTCTTTTATAAAAAAATCGCATGATTGAGAACCATGCAACATTTTAAGATTAACACCACATGATTCAATACGTAACCGTTTATATTCTAAAATTTCACCTTTAATTATTCTTATACCATCCTGCCAGGTAGCCATAAATATTATCTTCTTTAACCTTTTGCAAATTAATTAACCTATCATATGGAATCCATTCAATCATCTTTTCATATTCTGTAACATTGATTTGAAATTTTTTGATATATTCATCAATATTTTTGTTTTCACTTGTCCATCCTTCAGTTGCATCTTGAGGATCACATTGTTGGCACCAAGTTGGAGAGATATAAGATCGCTTGCATTTTGTACATTTTCCATAAAAGTTATATCTTTAAAATTAAATATTTATTTAATATAATTGTATTAACTCATTTACAGTAATTATATTTCAACAAAAGATCGAAATACTGTATATATATATCAGTAGCACTTTGCCACCTAATATTAATGAACTTTCCTACTTACTTACTATTTGTATATAAATAATATTAAATGATGTGCGTTTGTTAAACGTTTATTCATAAAATGAAAACTTATACTCACAATCTAATAATGGTTATTGATTGAAAAGTGCAGAGGTATGTTTAATGTTGATTCCTTATTAAGTAATTATGTCATATAAATTTTGATACGTACTCTCTTCAGTAAATATGATAATTAAAACAGGATTAGAAATTATAATACAAAATTTCATAAATTAATGTAATGTAGTTTTACCCTTACCGCCTAATAAAGTTTTATTTGATTAGAATAACGTTTATTTATTAAAAACAAAAAATTAGATGAATTCATTTACCGGATAAGAACTATGATTACTACTTTGAACACATAATTGAAGATAATCATGAAAATCTTAAGACAATATGTGACAAGTAAAAGAAGTGGAACTATATCATATTCCAAAAGACGACCGTTATTGAGTTCATTATAATAAAAGACCTGTCATAAAATATGATATGATTTGAACAGAAAATTGAATTAATAAAGCAAAATAAAAATTTATACAAATATGTGAATAAACATGGTGTCACCGTCTTGGTTCAAGTTGATTTTTTACTTGTTACAAAAATAATGATGAAATAATATACACACTTGAACAACGATTTGTAGAATATTCCTAAAAAGAATGTCAAAAAATGCACCACATATAATTGAACCAACAAAATATATAGTTAAGTATATTAAATCTATTGATTTCTTCGTAGCGATATAACCTCTTAGTAAACATAGGTATATCTTTCAAAATTGTCAAATATTCATAATCAGTTGCTATTGAAATAATTAGCAGAATTACTAAACCTAAATATTTCTTGACCCATTTTTCAAAATCTTCACCAATAACAGGTTCTTTAATTCCCTTATAAATAGTATAGATTGCTATACAAATGTTTGTGAATAATGGAACACTCAGGACGAGTACACTTCAACCGTGTTTTTACAAGAGTCAAAAGATAAAGTTGATAATAATTAACATTAATTTGATGACAATAAATAAATTTATTTGGTAAAAATACCTTTGCCAGTAAAGCTTCGCATCCTTAGAATAGTTCACAACAAAGAGAATTGTAAGAATAAAATTAGGAATGATTAATCCGAGTCTTAATATTGCAGAACTTATTGCCTCAATTTTTTGCGATTTTGACTTTTAAACAAAAATTTTATAAATATTTACGATGAGAAGTTCTTAAAAAACATTGATAAAATAAATATACCTTATAACTTAGTATACGGACTAATAAACAAAATATTATATAAATCGCAATCCCGACCGATATTAATATTTTGTTTTCATTCCATGCATTCGCTGTAATATGAAAAATTAGTCACAAAATTTAATCCGAAAGCATTTTAGATGAGATAATTAACTCACTCGGTGGTTTAAAGCCGTAAGATTTGTCTAAATCATTTGTCACACCAGAAGAGAATGTAGTGATATTCTTGTAAACAATCATAGTGTTTAAATCTGAAAATATCTCCGAAGCATTCCTTTTAGTTTCATTAATCATATCTATACGAATTGAAATAACGATTTTATCATCAGATACAAAGTCCAGGCTGCCATCATAATCTTCTTGCTTTTCATTTCAATTTTTATATAAAGTTTTGTATTTTTCTAATGAATCTTCTCTAGTTCCTTCGTCTAGAAAATACAATAAGAAACATATTAAGTACTTTAAATGTATATAAACATAATGCACATTACCTAAGTATATATTCCGATCGCCTGGTAATAAAAGTCCAAAAAGCTAAAGCAGTTAATAAAATTTCAAAAACTAAATTTAGATGATAAATCAAAAAATATTACCTGTTTTAAGACATGAATTCCTTTTTGAGGACTTTCATCTAGAGTAGCTTTGACAAAATTATTATCCATCGTCACAAAATATTGTTCGCCATATTCGTTGAATGTGCTATTAATGACTTTTACAATAATATAACTCTGAAAGGAATGATCTTTATTGGTATTACAGAATTCATTCATTGTTGCTGAAACTCTTTGTCTAACACTGTTATCAGAGGCTTTGTAGATGGTGATGTTACCAGCTGACAAAATAACATCACCATAATAGGTGATGTTTAGGATGGTCGTTGAAGAGTTGACATTAGCATTGATTGGTGGAAAAGTTTTCATTACATAGAGATTGTCATAGCCA